CCATTCAAGCCAGAGACACCAGCATATTTTAGGTCTTTTCCTTTCTCTTAAAAAATAAAACCGATTTGTTCCTTATGATTCTGTAGTTTATTTTCCCTCCTTTTCTTCTGGTTACATTTGGCTCTTTCCATTTTCCAAACAACTTACATTTTAAAAAGAAATACTTTCCCTCAAAATCTCTGTATTTCACAACCTAAATGCAATGCGCCCGATACAATGCACAACACTTGAATTCTGTTGACAACGTAATTCTATGCACAAAGCGGGAGGCTTTTTCTTTCCTGTCCTTTTGTTACTGGTGGGGGGCTCTCTGTGTACCCCCCTCTTACCAGTAGAAGTGGAGTTCTTGGGGTACCATGGAGAAAAGAATTTCCTGAGGCCCCATGGGAGGATGAGGTATCTTGGAAAGCCTTATTGATGATGTAAGATTGAGGGGTTTCCTTCCACGGTCCCACTTCCTCCCATCTCATCATGGGGCAAGTCCGACCTTGTCTTCAGCTGCCAAGGCTCACATCTACTCCGCCAGCCAGCTCAATGCTGTTCCAAGATCCCTGCCAGGAAACCCCTCCAGTGCAGGGTGGAGTGGGGAGAGGGTTCAGGGTCACGCCCACTGAGTCGCCTCCATCAGACAGCCAGCAGCTGTGACTCAGTTACTTACAAAGATCCCCCAATCCTAACATATGTAGTATCTTGCCACTGTTTTTGTAGGAGAATCATTTTTAAATAGATGTTTGAGAATCACTGTATGTCCCTCCCACCCCCAACCAAAAGATGGAAGTGGGAAACTGAGGCACCACAATAGTCAAGTCCTCAGCGTCCAGGCTGGCTTTGGGAGTCAGGCATGTCCAACCACGTGGCTTCTGCAGGGAGCTGAAGGGCTGGGAAGAAGCCAACCGAACGGCTCAGCTATGAATCTGAAGTGTCTCGCTCGGAAACGCAGGTTCACAACCAACAGAGCAGCTGCTGGTGACTGAATCACAAAAGAGCAGTTCTCAGCACGGAGGAGGCAGGGGTGGACACAAGGTTCAAGTGCCCTCTGTGCCTCATTCTCACCACCGTCCTAATACAACTGCTTCCTTTCATCCCTCAACTGGACAGTGGAAGCTAATCAGACTGAGCCTGAAGTAGAGCATTTCTCTTTGCTTTTAGTTACTATTTTCAAAGGCTAACTCACAATTTAGTGGGAAGAGCCTATTGAACTTATTTTTTTTCTCCTCGCATTTTCCAACACATGATATTAAAGTAAGTGGGGGCCCTTGATAAGCAGGGATTGAATTCCATGGAAGTCACAGCACAAAACCACACAGCATTCCAGAGGAGCTGGCATCACAGCCGGCTGAATGTCAGGCCAGTTTCCTACTGAGTGGCATTTCTTTTAGCTGGGAATTAGAGAGTGGAAAAATTAAAAGGAAAGAAAAATCCTTTATAGTTATAAAATTCTCAATATCGAAAAAATAATGAGTATTAACAGCAAAAGCAACTTATAACGTGTTTAGAAAGTTATTACAGCTTGGGCCAAAAATATGCCAGGTAGACGATTAAAAATAAGAAACTTGTTTAAACAGTCATAATCATTTAGACTTAATTCTCCCCTCTGAGTAGGCAAGAACTGCCTTATACAAACACCCCCGTACTTGAACTATTCCTCCTCGGACCTCTGGGAGGGGTGAAAGGAGGGAGCCGCAGGAAGTTTGCTTTTGTGGAAAAGCATGTACACATAGCCGCAGGGTCTGTGGATCTTGCAGACTGATTGGGTCTAAAGCAACAGATCACATCTGTTACTGATGGCGGAGTTCCACTATGAAGGCAAGGCACCTGCAGGAAAATTGCCCTGAAACTGTTTTGATGATTACAGTTAGGTGACATTATTTTTCCCTCGAGTCACAGAGAAGTATCTCTGAAAGTCTAAGTCTCAGCACTTTCTACCAGTCATCTTCCCTCATTAGGAATGTCCGTCTTCCAATTCTGCTTGTGACCGGGATGTATAGAAAATCTGACTTTAACAAGGCTTCCTGTTTCCTGGCACTATGCTATTCCAGGAAAACATTTTCAATCTCCCAGAAATCTTAGCACATGAAAACCTAGTCTAAAATTTATATAATTTATTAACCAATGTTATCCAAATAAATTTAACTTTTTAAAAAAGTGAACTACAGAAGGTTAAAAAATAGAGTCAATCCCAACTTCCCATTGCAGATTCTTGTTTTAGTTTTGTTTTAAATATATTTTGATTTTTTTTAAATTTAATTTTTTTTTTTTTTTTTTTTTTTACAGAGAGGAAGGGAGAGAAATAGAGAGCTAGAAACGACAATGAGAGAGAAACATTGACCAGCTGCCTCTTGCACACCCCCTACCGGGATGTGCCCGCAACCAATGTACTGTATCTATACATGTCCTTGCCCAGAATCAAACCTGGGACCTTTCAGTCCCCAGACCGACGCTCTACCACTGAGCCAAACCGGCTTTGGATTGGTTTTGTTTTTATTGCTTAACTTATCTGGATGAAACTCATGAGAGACCAACTTACAAAACAAATCTAAGTGTGTGGATTTGTTGACAAAAGAATGTCCATCCTATAGCAAAGTCTTTTAAGAGTTTAGTTGAGCCAAATTTGAGGACAGGCCTGGAAGCAAAATCTCAATGGAGTGAGAAAATGCTCTGGAGAATGTCAGTTTTGCTGCTTCTTTTATACATTAGAATCAAAGGAGACATAAGGATGGTTACATGAAATTAATCGGTGGTAGATTAAGGGGGCAGGAGGAAAGCAAAGCAGGGAAATCTCTGAGACTGGATAAAAAGCGAAATGAAGAAACATACTTCTTTTACATTGATGGGTACGCAATAGTTAATAATTGACATTTACAGCACATACAGATGGTATTCAGGGAACAAGATAATAATGAGAAGTTCTGTGGTCTGGCGCTTGTAGTTGTACCTTCGAGGGGTAGGAAAAGAAAATTGCTCTGGCCCTGGCCGGTGTGCTAGTGGTTAGAGTATCAGCCTGCACATTGGATGGTTGGAGGTTCTATTCCTGGTCAAGGGCACATACAATCCATGTGCTTCTCTCATCTCTCTTTCTCTCCCCCCTCTTTCCCCCACACACCCTTCCTTCTTTCCCTCCCTCCCTCCCCTCTACTCTATCTGAAATTAATGGGAAAACATCCTCAGGTGAAGATTCACAAAAAGAAAAAAGAAATAAAAATTACTCTGGAATTTCAAAGGTCTATTACCCTAGATCACATGTGTCAAACACAAGGCCCCTCGGGCCAAATCCGTCCCGCCAGGCCTTGCAATGTGGCCCGCACCGCGCTGTCATCACTGCACTCCGCTGCGTTTCCATCACAATGACAGTTTATGACTGTTCAGTAAACCATTCGGCCCGCGATTTAGGCTGGATTTTAGATTTTGGCCCCTTCTCTGATTGAGTACGACACCCCTACCCTAGATGCATAAGAACAATAGACAGAACTCACTTAAAGTCAAGATTGACCTTTGCTAAGGAAGCTGTAGGCCTGGGATGTGACTACCTGTTATGACCTGCCCAGGGAATTTGTGATCAGACTATCCTGTGTAGTTACTTTTGGTCACTGAGCTTGTCAGGCCTGTCATTTGCCCCCACCCCAACCCCAGCTTGTCAGTTCTATTACATAGCTCCTTTTTTATTCACAACTTTAAAATAGCAGTAGCTTTGGGAGCATTTTATTAATGTAACCTTTTAACAAAATTCCTTATAAGGAGATGAAAACTATTTAGGAAATACTCTGGAAAACAAAATCCCAAAGGAAAAAATCAAGATCAATCTGGGCCTAAGAGTTCAGAGACACTTTGGAAAGGCCAGCTGAACTCTGGGCCAGCCCGGCATGATGTCATTCTTTGTTTGTGTCAGATGTAAGCTTTTGTCCAGGCTTGGCCTAACCTCTTAGTCATTGTCCAAAGTAATGGTTATCAGTCTTTCTGCTCCATACAATAACTTGGAGGTTTCCTGAGCAAATCCTGATGCCCAGATCTTACTTTTAACCAATTAAATCATGGTCTCTGGGAATAAAGCCCAGCATAAGAAATTTTTATTTTTTAATATTTAAAAAATTAATTTTAAAGAGGAAGGTAGAGGGAGAGAGAGTTAGAAACGTCAATGATGAGAGAATCATTGACCAGCTGCCTACTACACATGCTACACTAGGAATCAAGCCTGCAACCTGGACAGGTGCCCTTACTGGGAATTGGACCATGACCTCCTGATTCATAGGTTGATGCTCAACCACTGGGCCATACTGGTTGGGCCATGAGAACTTTATAAATGTTCCCCACGCGATCTTAATGGACATCCACTGTTTTAGAGCAAGGGTTTTCAAACTGTGTTCCCTGGCACTGTTCAGTGACTTTGGTAGAAGTGAGGTGGCATGTGAAGGCCGCCATTCCCCCAGACCCTCTGTCCCGATTCTTCTGGAGTTGCCTTTCATTTTATCTCTTTCAAGTGTTTCAAGTAAGATAAAATGTCATTTCTAATAAAAGTGGGGAACTAGAGAGATATAATAAAGCATAGTCTTGATTGAAGCAAAGCCCACCCCACCAGTGGTTGGGACGATTAGCTTACCTCTGGGGTAGAAGGTAGGGAGAGAAGCTCTGTCTCCCCAGGGCATTCACGCCAAAGAAGATGGATATTGACTAACCACGAATTTGTAGCTGCCTATTTCTTTAACTGCTTGACTTCCTATATAGAACCATTGAGATCCAATTAATCATTAACCACTTGTCTAAGGAAGCAAGTTTTTTAAATTCACTGATTATTATCCCTCATGTTTCCTCCCATGACACAGATATGAACAAAACCCCCAGGAGCAATAATCTTGTGCTGATCCCATCAGCAACCATTACTATTGCAGAAGTACATTCCTTTATGCTAAATCCAGGAATAAAATGTTGTCAATGCAATTAGTAATAATTGTATTGGTTAGGGGCCCACAAGTGTTTTGAATTTCTTTTAAAATCTGAAGAAAATAAACTTTTGGGTTGAAAAACATTTTAATACATAACATTTATATATTTTCTCTTATATGAATACAGTCATGAATATGTGTGTGTGACTGTGTATTTTTAATGTAGAAAGGAGTCCATGAAGGCAAAAGTACTTAGAGCCCTCAACAGCCCTGCTTGCTGGACATATTTTCATTGTATGCTGGAAACATGTGAGAAGGTCAGAATTTTAGGCATTCTATCCATTCAATATATTACTTTTGAGAACTGATGTCTTCAGATTCTGAGGAAATGAATTTCAGATGGAAGAATTTTATACATCCTTAAAGGGTAGCAGGATAGATTTATAGGATGAGGATTTTGCTGACTACACTGCAGATCCCACTGTGTACAGTAGTCCATTAAGAGTACCCGTCTCACTCACAACTCACCACTTCTTCCCCAGATACCATGAGCTTCTTGCATGCATCTTGCTGCTGAATCCATAAAATCTTAAACTTGAAGGTTCTGAACCCAATCCCCACCCAAAGCAAGACCATCTTTCTCGCCATCCTTGACCAGTCACTCAGCAGCAGTTTGAGCACGTCCTAACACTGTCTGCACTTGGGAGCTGCAAAGCTGCTTCCCTCAGCCTTGTTGTCTTATAAAGAAACACGGCATGTGAGAAAACACAGATATTCACAGGTTGTGGCTGATGCAGTAACAAGATGTTATAAGGAGTGAACCCCTGGACACCATACGTCAGCGATGGTGGGTGAACTACGCATCATGGGCGCTACCCACAAGGACTATTGTGGTCTCATCTTCCTCGGGGTTAAGTTCTGGGCGCCCCTCCACCACCCTGTGCAGGGTGCTATAGTGTTGCTGGCTTTGGTGGAAACAATGCAGCTCTGAAGCAGCCTCCCAGGCAGCAAAAGTAGGCATGGGGAAGACCTCTGGCCTCTTGTTTTCAAAGAAGCTTTTCAGATTTCTCTCACTCAGCTTGCTGGCGTAGTCCACGAATGCATTTTCCAACTGCTCCTTCTCCTTTTGTGCATATGTCTTCCAAAAATTCAGCTGAAGGTAGCTAACTTTAGATCGGCAGCGAGCACAACAAGTGGTGAGCAGAGAGAACAAAGATGCTGAACAAATCAGGCACCATCCTAGAATCTTAGAAAGAGAGAGATATTGAGGGCACTTCTCAGGGAGCTGGGGGGATAGTATTGGGAAGTGAATGGCTAAATTAAAACCACAACTCAGCTGAAATCCTTCATCTTATTTTTTTTAACAACACTTTTCTAACCTTCAAAATAAATTTCAGTTTTACCTAATTATTCTTCATCCTCCACATCATTGCTGATAAGCAAAAAAATAACTAGAAGGCAGGCAATATCCCCTCTAGCAGGGCAAGTGCTATTTCTTCAACTAGAGGACTCTGAGGTTCAGAGAAGTCAAATCCCTAGCTCTTGATCACATAGCTGGTGACTGGTGGAGTCAGGACTCAAACCCACAGCTAGCCAACTCCAAGGCCAAGTTCTTTCCAGTCCTACACTTTACCTCCCTTAAGAAAAGAGCATCACACAGCTGGGTTCCTTGTTTCTCTGCCCCACCTGTGGATAGGGACACCCCCACCCACATGCCCAACTATTGGTCTGGACTGTTTGTTTCTCCTGATTACCTGAGCTACTGTGAGCACCTACTATTGACACAGCTTGCCTGGTCCACATCCCTCAGGCATCCACCCCCAGGAATCAGCCCCAGGCCCTTTTCATCCTGCTGCGAAGCAAAACAGGTCAGTGTGCCCGGGTTCAGCCACCACAGCATGTGCATGATCTCCTTGTGCTTGTGTTTAGAGAAGAAAAGCTCACACGGTGATGAGTGTTTGGATCTGGCACTAACTGAACAGAGCCCGGGGCCTGGGGACAGAAATCATAAATCACTCAGTGTGTCACAACCTTCGTGATTAATGCCTCCCTTCAACAAAAGAAGAAAGACATCTGGGAGCCTGGCATGTTTTTATCTAAGATGTACAATACTTTATGCATCACACAAAAGACTTTAGGCTTATCGGTTTATGGAAAGTAGATGACAATACTGCCAGCCAGCTTTGGAATGCAGGGTTTAAAAAACACACTTGGCCTTGATGTGCAGATCCTCCTTGAAAAGTAAAATTATACCATTTTAAGTGTGTTTATTCCAAAACTAGTGGCACTGCGGACCAGTTGTGGATCTGTTTATCCACTCTCGTGGCTTGCTTTGGTTTGGGGAATGCAATTCCTTGAACTCACAAGTAGGAATGCAGTCTCCCCCGAGGCCAGGGCAAGGCGTCACATCTGGATTTGTGCTCAGGAACCTGGGAGGATGACAAGCTACTTCCCCACATCAGTTAGGGAAAGCTATGGTTTCCTTATGTTCCATAAAACAAAGCCCCGAACCGAACCGAGAGCTTCTAACGTCCAGTACGACCTGTTGAGCTGAACAGCAGAAAGCGGAGGACACACCTCCCTGGGGAATATGAGCGCTTTTCACCGGAGGCCACAGACAGCCAATTCTTACGTTATCTGGGAACCTCGTCCCAATCCTGACACTGTTAAATAGAAGCTGCCAGAAATCATTCAAGGGGATCTTGATTTTCACTATATTGCATGCAACACTGAAAAGCGTTAACTCATTTGGTGCAGCTCTATTTTAATAGATGAACGCTGTGTGTGTGGGTTTTGTTGTCCCCGCCCCCCTTCGCGCCCCCCCCCCCCCCCCGAAACCAGATAGAAGGCAGTAATTTCTAATTTCTAATTACAGATCTGGCCTTAACACTCGATTAGAGTTCATATCATGCATTATTTATGAAGTCAACCCAGAGAGAGAGAGTTTTAAAGTACTTAAGTATTTACGTAAACAGAACCCAGAGGGCGTTTTCTGTTCGGAAATGGAAAAGACAGTTCAATCAGCAGTTTTACACTGAGCCCCTCCGCCTTCTAAAAAGCTTTTCCCCATGGTCTCTACTGCTGCATCCTGTTCCAATTTCCATTGTGTCTCAGACTGTTCTGGCAGGATTCAGACTCAGCCCTGGCTAGCAGGGGAACGGAGAGAATAGCTCAAGCTGGGAGGGAAAGCCAAGTTTGCCCTTTTTTTTTTTTTTTTTTTTTTTTTTTTTTTTTTTTTTTTTTTCCTTTTCTTTCTTTTTTACCTGAGACTGGGCCTGCAGGGACAGCTTCAGCTCTTCGCTGTCCATAGCTGGCATGCTGGTCTTGCCACAGGACACTTTGTGAAGCTCTGCCCAGCACTCCTTGGGCTTGTCCTTGCAGATCAGCCCCAGGAGACCTGCACTTTTGGTCCCGCTCATGGCACATTCATAGAAGGTGCCGTTGAGCAAAGCCACAGACAGCCACATCGTGGGCGCCACCAGGGAGCTCAGCGTGATCTGGCCCAGGACGTGGAAGAAGCGGCGGCCGTGGCCGCGGGGGAAGATTTTCCTGGGGTTCACGCAGCAGCCGGTGAAGAGCCGCCAGGACCTGCTGTTCAGGAAGAAGCCCAGGATGAGGAGGACCCAGGCGGGAGCGAAGAGGAAGACCAGCCCGTAGACCGTGTTCTGGCTGCTGCAGGGGCACCTGAAGGCCACGAGGGAGAAGAGACGCTCGCTCCCCAGGGTCAGCAGGGCCATGAAGCTGTAGCCGATCACCGTTTTCTGGTGCAGGAGGAACTTTAAAATCCCGTTGAAAGCATCCATGTTGGAGGTAAACAAAGCAGGGAAAGGCTTCGCCTTATTTATTGGCAGAGCAGCTGTGGCTGTCGTGGCTGAGGGTGGAGCTCTGCCCTCAATTGGAAAGCAAAACCGTCCTCCTTCTCAGACCGAATTCGGCCAGATAAGGAAACAATGTCATTCCCCAAGAATGAGGATTTCCCAACTGTGTTTAGACAATGCCTCCTACTGGCGGGGATCGGGCCATGAAACGAGAGCCAAACCACTGGTGATTGAATTCAAAGCGCAGAGCCTCTGTTTTTATGTTGTTTCCATGCATTGAGAATCTGAAAGAAATGCTCACTTGTATCAATAATAGTCCAGGAATTTTCCAGCCGGAGAAATCAAAACATTCCCAGAAATGGGTTTCAGCCAGATGGTCTGGAGCCAAGGCAACGTCCAAGTCTGGACACTTGTGCTGTTTTTGTTTTTTTTCTCTCTTGCTGCTTAAGAGCAGGAAATTCACTTTATATCCTTTAAACCTGGCTAGCGGCAGAGACGTGCAGCAATTTTCAGGATCTGACTCCTTGGGATTGATAGGAAAACGTTAGTGAGCCTTTGCATTTTGAATGAAAGACAATATGGGAAGTCCTTCTCATTTCTTTCCTGGGCTGTCATATCATCTCCCGATGGGCATCTCTGCCTTTGCCCTCATGCCCAGCATCCCCTCAGTCCTACATCCACCCTCCACGCTGACACGAAGGAGATCCCTTTAAAACAGAACCTGAATTCCGTCGTAGCTTATTCATGGCTTTGAGCCTCCCCGCTGCCTGCAAGCTGGTCAAGGTCAGCCTCCGTGAGTTTAATCTTGGCGTTTCATGCCCACGATAGGTTCCCTCCACCTGGAATATCACCACCACCACCTTGTTCACCTGACAACCTCTCACTCAGGATCCATGAACAGGGTAGATGTTCCTGCCTCTGTGATTATTTCCAGGATTGCTTCTTAATATAGGGCGGGGCAAAAGTAGGTTTACAGTTGTTCCTGTAAAAAATAATACAATAATTAATTGTGGAGAGCAGCTACAGTATTTGGATAGGTTCAAGCCTCGGACTGATGAGAGGGCACAATCCTCTCGTGGCCACGTGCAAGTCCCAGCTTGGAGGGCAGAGCCCTCCCAGCACAATGATAGCCAGCAGCTGTAGCTGTAAGCGTGAACCTATGGCCTGAACACGTGGCCCCACGTGCCTGAGTGATGCGGGCTAGATAGAGTTCAGGTGCATGAGTTGAGTAGGACTGAAAGCCACACGAATGTTGTAAACATCTTGACCACGCCCTTACTTTGCCTCGTGGCATCTGGCTATAAAATAAAGACACGGCTTGTAGTCCGTGGTGCTGTCTCTCCATCAGAGGAGCGGTGTCCCACCGAGACCCAGCTTCCATTCTTTTGTCCGTCTTTTCTCAATCCTTCACCTCCCCCACTCAGGATCATTCACCTTTGGCCGTGCTGGCATAGCACAATTAATAAATAACAAGAATAAAACCTGTGTTTCGAATACTCACAACTATGAGCCTACTTTTGCCCTATCCTATATATAACATTGTACTTGCAGGACTTATCATACTCTTGCAGTTATTTGTTTAATATCTGTAGCCCTTTTTATTAACTTGTATTCTGGATCTAAACATGGTGTCAAACAGATTAGATGCTCATTCAACAATTCCTTTTTCAAATAGTTATTATACTCCCACCGTGTGCCAGGCACTGTACTAGACAGGCAGTGCTCATTGAGTATAAATGAATAAATGAATGTATGAATGAAAAAAAAACCTTTAATTAGAAGTACTTCTAATTAGAAATAATTAAAGGAAATTATTTCAATTTCCTACATTGGTGTTAATTTTAAAATTAAATTAATGAAGCCAATTGAAAGACCTTTCAAGCTAACACAATGAGTTTCAAATTCCAGGTCTGTGTGCTTTGTGAAAAGAAAGTGCCGTGGACTCGGAGCCGAGATGTAGTGTAGCCTTGGCCATGTCATTTTATCTCTCCGAATTCCGGTTTATTCATTTGTGAAAAGGGGAATGAAACAGAAATAACCGTCATGTTTTCTTCCATTTTCATATTATAAAAAAAGTTAAGTCCTCAAAACAGGAGACTTTTTTGAGAAGTTACTTTAGGATGTACCTCTCATCACTACTCTTTAATCCTGTCAGAGACTCGCCATCCTTAGTAATAGCACTCTCTCCACTTCCCCAAACACACTCTGAGTCTAACCCCTTGGTCGGCAAACTGCAGCTTGTAAGGTTCCAGCTGAGAGGTTTGTGAAGAAGAAGCAAGACACGGAGTCCAGGTGATTAAAAAAAAAGGGGGGGGGGGGGCGTGATTAATCTGTACTCCAGGGCGAAGCTCACTGGTCTGAGGGTGGGCCAGGGAAGTTCACTCCAAAAAGTGGCATAGGTACTTCTTTTATACAGCTGTTTAGGGAGGGGGGGGGGGGGGGAAGGCATCAGAGGTGTGGAATTCCTGCCTCAGGCTAGGGGTCTAGGAAGGCCTTAGGAAGACACCAGCTAGCCCACTATCTTTGTCACCATCCACCTTGCAGATGTTTGCATCGGCTCTGGGCTTCCCCCCTGCCTCGACCTAACACGGCTCTTGAGCCACATGCAGCTCTTTGGCTCCTTGAGTGTGGCTCTTCCACAAAATACCACGGCCTGGGCAAGTCTATTTTGAAAAAGTGGCGTTAGAAGAAGTTTAAGTTTAAAAAATGTGGCTCTCCAAAGAAATTTCAATCGTTGTACCATTGATATTTGGCTCTGTTGACTGATGAGTTTGCCGACCACCAGTCTAACCTTCCTGTAGCATCCTTCGCTCTGTCACATTTCTGTTAGGGCAGATGTGTTGTCTTTCACTAGCCTCAGTGTGACAAATACCATACTCATATGTTGATGAATAGTCGTATTTTAATTTCCCTCCTTCCTAAAGGACATTTACTTTAAAAATTTTTTGTTTTAAGACCTAGTCCCTTAAAAGGTTTCATAAAAATAAAAGTACATTTCAAAAATAAGTGTGAGCCCTGATTTCCTGACTGCAAACTCCACGCGCTTCCCCGTTACGTAGCACTGCCCAGAACAGGGTATTTATTTGGGTGCCCCATTTACAGACATTTGTTCTAGACCAAGTTTTCGTCATTTGCCCCCCTCTTTGTTAGGTGGCTTTCAAGATGTACTTGGGGATTACACCAAGTGTGACCTGTAACAATTCCAGCAGAAATGAATTTTCCCTGATTCTGGACAAGAACCCTCTGGTGGAGTTTGTGGAAGAGCTCCCTGCCGGGCGGTCGTCTCTGTGCTACTGCAACTTACTCTGCGGGATTATCAGAGGGGCCCTGGAAATGGTAAGCCCCTGCTTCCTGGTGCGGGTGCATCTGTTATCGAGCGCTGGGTAACAAACGGCCCCGGAACCGAACAGCTTCAAACAGATGTTTATTATCTTACACGGTTTCTAAGGATCAGAAATCTGGGACCAGTTTAGCAGGGCGGTGGTGTCTCAGAGCTTTTCTCAGCTTAACACACATGCAGTCAAGCTGGTGGTTGGGCTGCAGTCTCAGCTAGAGAATCTACCTTCAAGCCCACTCGCATGGCCTTGCTGACAGTTGGCTAGAGGCTTCATGAAGTTCCTTGCCAAATAGGCCTCTCTGTAGAGCTAATCACAACAGGTGCTGCCAGCCCTGGTGCAAAGTGGGAGGGGACTAGCAGGAGGCCAGAGGTCACCGCAGGCTGTTCTGGAGGCTGGCTCCCACACCGGAATTGTTCATCTATTTAAGGAAGACAACGATTAGTATCTGCTAAGCGTCAGGCACTGCACTTAAAAAGATGAACAAGACACAGTTGCTGCCCTTCAAGTATTGTCTGTCCTGGCCAATCCGGTTTGGCTCAGTGGATAGAGTGTCAGCCTGCGTACCGAAAGGTCCCAGGTTTGATTCCGGTCAAGGGGTCAAGGGCATGTACCTTGGTTGAGGGCACATCCCCAGTAGGGAGTGTGCAAGAGGCAGCTGATCGATGTTTCTCTCTTATCAAAGTTTCTAACTCTCTATCCCTCTCTCTTCCTCTCTGTAAAAAATCAATAAATATATATATATTTTTTAAAAATGGTCTGTCCTGTAGAGAAATCAGATATTTCAGATGTGTGACTAAGGGCTATGGGAGGACCCTGGTGGGGGTGAATGAAATGTCAGGGACAACTTCCTAGGAAAACTGTGACCTGGCATTTGAAGGATAGATGGGAGTTTGGGGAGGTGAAAGCCTTGAGGAGCAGGGGAAAGGAGCAGCTTGTCCAAAGGCACAAAAATAATGTTTCTATCAAGGAACAAGGAACTTGGATTCGTTTATCATGAATATCATGTAGGTTGAGAGAGGAATTGTCATGAAGAAGGAGATTTAAATTTTTTACTGAGGCCTGATTTAAAAAAGAAAAAAAAAAAGGCATGTATATGACAAGCTGGGAGTTTGATTTTTATATTGAAAAGACCAGAGACCTGTTGTAAGTTTATAAACAGGGGGTGATATTTTCAAAGTTGTATTTTAGGGATTTCATTCCTTTGTCCACAAAGTGAATGTGTACAGGAGGGGACAATGCTAGAGGGAGGAGGAGGGCAGTTAGGAAGTTGATCGTGGAAAACTCGAGAAAAACTCGAGAAAGCCCTGACAGGACGAGTGGAGAGAAGGGTGATGCCAACAACACTAAGAAGGTAGAACAGATTTAAGATTAGATAATCAGTTGGCTAAAGGGACAAGGTTGAGAAAAGAGGAATTATTTTTAGTTTTTTTAAAATTTATAATATATTTTTATTGATTCCAGAAAGGAAGGGAGAGGGAGAGAGAGATAGAAACATCAGTGGTGAGAGAGAATCATTGATTGGCTGCCTCCTGCACATCCCCCACTGGGGATGGAGTCTGCAACCCGGGCACATCCAGGCATGTGCCCTTGACTGGAATCAAACCTGGGACACTTCAATCTATAGGCCAAGGCTCTGAGCCAAACCAGCTAGGGCTATTTTCAGGTTTCTGAGCATCCTATAGCAATGGTTGTACTATTAATCAAGAGAGCAAAACCAGGAGAGACAAAACTCCTCATTTTGTCTCTCCCATCCCCAAATGAGGAGTTTAATTGGGCAGCTGCTGGAATTGAGGTTATCTATACACACCAGTGATGATATCGCTCAGCAGTTGTTTCACATGTCTGCAAGTCATAGAGATGTGGACTGAAGAAGCACTGGAACTCTGAGAGAGAGAGAGAGAGAGAGAGAGAGAGAGAGAGAGAGAGAGAGAGAGGGGGGGGGGGGGGGGGGAGAAAGAGAGAGCGCACTACAGTTGGAACTCTAGGAGGCGACAAAACATAGTGAGTAAGCTAGACAGAGAATATGAAGTCTGCAAAGGATGCCTAGAAGGAGCAACCAGGGCTTAGAAAAATACCAGGAAAGAATGGAGTCAAAGAAACAAGAGAGGAGAGTATTTTAAGAAAAGGAAATATCTGAAACAAGACCTGAAAAATATTCACAACGTTTAGGGACCAAAAAAGCTGTTTTGGGAAAGTGAAGGGAGAAGAAGACAATCTGTCCAAGACTGATGAGCCAAGGGCAGCTTAGGCAGAGGTAGTAACAGTCTCTTTTCACAGAAGCTTAGCTATTTAGAATAGTGAGACTAGATAGGAGCCTAAGTCTAGACATGTGTTATATACTCAATAATGAAGTATAGATATAATTTTCAATTACTTATGACTAAAGGCCCAGTGTATGAAATTTGTACAGGGAGGGAGGGGCGTGTTGTCCCTCAACCCAGCCTTCACCCTCTCCAATCTGGGATATCTCTCTCACAATCCAGGATTTTGGCTTCCAACCACTCACCTGCCCACCTGCCTGCCTGCCTGCCTGATCACCCCCTAACCATTCCCCTGCCAGCCTGTTCGACACCTAACTGCTCCTCTGCAGGCCTGTCCCTCCCCCACAACTACTCTCCCATTCAGGCCTGCTTGTCCCTAACTGCCTTCTTCTGCTGGCCTGGTCACCCATAACTGCCCTCCCCTGCAGGCCTGGTACCCCCAACTGTGCTTTTCTGTTGACCTGGTCATCCCTTACTGCCCTCCCCTGAAGATCTGATTGCCCTCAACTACCCTCCCTTGCAGGCCTGGTCCCTCCCAGCTGTCCTCCCCTGCTGGCCTGATTGCCCACAACTGCCTTCCCCTGCTGGCCATCTTGTGGTGGCTATCTTGTGCCAACATGGAGATGGCCATCTTGTGTGTTGGAGTGATGGTCAATTAGCATATTACCTCTTAATTATATATGATAATTAGGGGAAGGACATAATAACAGGTAGTTCAAAAAAATAAAACAATAAATATAATTATCATTCACACAGATCTTCCACAGGTCTACCTACCATTTTTTAAAGCTTGCCCTACCATCAATGACCATGAAATCAAGAAAGAACAAAGGAAAAATTCTGGGAGTTAGTGGGTTGAACCATAAAACCAAGTCAAAAGCAAGATAGAGAAGTCTCCATCCTTCATGGGTAATGGTTGACTATACACACAGAATGATAGACACATAGGCATCAGACAACATGTGGCCCCAAATATTCAAATAGTATCAGTAAAGTCTCCGTGTTATTTTATTTAATTTCCTGTCTAATTTTTACAAAGACAGAAAAAAGATCTTATATGGGAAAAATGTGGGTGAATTTATCTTCTCTATTTCAAAGTGTGGTCTATATCCTTCTATTGGGTGGTGGGCATCACAGAGACAGGGTTTTTGATCACTGTATGGGCCAAAGAACTGGGCCTACCAAGGTCTATGGTTTAACAAACCCAGGCTGGTTGGCCAAGGAATTCTTGGTAAGAGAGGGGAATGAGTCTGGTAAGGTTATAATTAATTGATATTCATTCATTACTAGGCTCAGGCTTTCCCACTTATTTGCTTTTATTAGTACTTTCAGTTATTTATTTTCTTTACCCCAATGACTTAAAATAGCTGAATGGTATTCTATTGAGGGTAGGTCAGCGATACCATGCCAGTCTTATGTGCCTATATTTTAATGAATAGGGAAGTCAGCCCTTGGGGATCACTTCAATGCCTGGGAAATGAGCTATGCCTTCCAGAGGAAAAGAAGGCCTTGGTATCAAATATTCATGTCTGCAATTTCAATCTTTAATTTTACATTCATGATTTATTTAGTCTATATTTTTTTAAACCTCTCAGAGCCATAAGTGAGTCCAAATATTATTAAAACAATACTTATTCTGCTATGATCATGCTATTTAGCTAGGACAGAATGATGCATGGCAAGTCAGTTGGAGAGGAATGGTTTATGAATTCCTTTATCCTTGGAAGTTCTGCTTGCAAGGCACACTGGGTCAAGGCTATCCTTGAGCTGAGAATTTGTGTTCTTTCTGAGATGGATTCACCGTTCAGCCCTGTGAACAAAACTTGGCAAAGGCTTGCCCCAGAGGCACCCGGTCCGGCCTGGCCTGGAATGCCCATCTCTCTGCAGATGCATAAGGCAGAGCTCACACACAGCCAGACCATCTCCGAAGGACACGCAGGAAAGGGCCCTTCATCCACGGAGCTAGCTCTTTTTTTTATCTTTTCATAAGAAAAGGCAGCTCCTATGGGGTAAATAAAGCTGAAAAAGGGAGACAGAAAAATGAGTTTGTTTGCTTTTATAAAACGTTAATGACAAAAGCCTTTTTCCTTTTCTTTCCTAGGTTCATTTAGCTGCTGATGTCACATTCTTGCAAGACAGACTCAAAGGCGACAGTGTGACAGAAATAGGAATTACATTCCTGAAAAAGCTAGATGAGAAAAAATACAGACGGAAAAAATGAAGAATAGCACGCAAAATGTCCCAGGCTGATTAGTGGAGGAGCTAATATTAGCTAAGCACAGCCAGCCATTGAGATTTTGAATTGCTTAATAGCATGGGCTTTATGAGAATAATAAATTAGCCCGAAATTTGAAATGTAGTACATAAGGATATAGAATTGTTGTTTTTTACTTTTTCTTTTAAACCACACATTTTCAATCTCCTGTCAAAGTTTCATATACAAATAGCTCCTTATAAGACAGAAAGCCTGAATTGCACATATTACATAGTCTAGTCTATTCATTTCATTATTTATGGTAACAGGAAAAAAAAACATCTATATAACTGGTATATTTATCTCTTTTCATTGGAAAAAAAATGAATGGAATGATAAAACATAGAGTCCACTATATATAGTTTCTAGATACTGTACATTGTATTCTCTATAGAAACAGTTCTATTTGTAGCAATCTTTCATATTTTTGAAAAACGATGGATGTGAATTTTCTCATATATTGGCTTGGTTTTTAGCTTAAGCCTCCTAAAACTACTCTTAATTTGTAATCAACAAAGCAAATCTATTTATTTGGATGCTAATTCTGAAACACTTAAAAATAGCCTCTAAATTAATAAAAGGGTAATATGCAAATTGGTCAGGATGCCCTTACAGTAGTGACTGGACAGCAGGCTGCATGGGGTGACCAGGCCAGCAGGGGGGCAGTGAGAGGTGACCAGGCCAGCAGGGAGGGTAGTTGGAGGTGACCAGACCAGCAAGGAGGCAGTTGGGAGTGACCATGCTGGTAGGGGGTAGTTGGGGGCAACCAGGCTGTTGGGGGGCAGTTGGGGGTGACCAGGCTGGTAGGAGGGTGGGGCCATGAGGGGAGACCAGGCTGGTGATGGGGGGGGCAATTGGGGGTGACCAGGCCAGCATGGGGGGCAATTAGGGGTGATCAAGCTGGCAGGAGGGGCAATTAGGGGTGATGAGGCAGTCAGGCAAGTGAGCAGTGAAAAGCCAGCAGTTCCAGATTGTGAGAGGGATGTCCGACTGCCAGTTTAGGCCCCATCCCTGGGATTGGGCCTAAACCAGCAGTCGACATCCCCCGAGAGGTCCCAAATTTGAGAGGGTGCACGCTGGGCTGAGGAGCTCCCTCTCCCCACCCCGTGCACAAATTTCATGCACTGGGCCTCTAGTTTAATTATAATTCATTTAATATATTTAATTTTTAGATAGCTGGCATTAACCAATTCTTTCCTTTTCTAGTGAAATATTACTGATGGTGAGGCCAGGAAATCACTAAAATGAGCCGTAAATAATGTTCTTTGAGATTACTTTCAAAGCTCATTCAGTTAGGATGTTTACTGTCATTTTTATCCTCTAAAAACTTTATGAAGTATATTTTATCTGTGACCAGAACATATTTAAAATTCAAAATGTACTGGATTAAATAAACAATCATCTTCATCAGACCTCAGCATAGAAGGGCGACCTATACGGCAGTCTGGAATCTACTGGATTCTGCAGAGAAGTCAGATTAAAAGAGCTACAAGTAATGTGGCACCATCACTTAAAACTGCTGTAAGTGATATAGTACTGAGAGACCTCACCTGGGACTCGGGGCTGGAGAAGGGCTAGTTCCCTTTTTAGTGGCTTCAGCTGATGCTGACTAGTGGTTGATCTTTGGTAAGGTGTATAATCTCTCTCTCTCTCTCTTGCTCTATCTCTCTCTTGCTCTCTCCCTCTCTCTCCCCGCTTCTCTCTCTCTCTATGAAATGAGAGGCTAGGATATGATGAATATCTAAAATATATTCATGAATAAATGACATCAATAACCACTTAAATTCCACTTTTCTGGATTTTAGAAGACTATGGGGTTCATGTTGACCAACGTCACCCCAATCAATTTAATAAATACATTAAAAAAAAAAAGGCTATGGGGAAATTGTTTCTCACCTACCTAGCTGTCTCTTCTGGACAATGAGGTAGGAATCAAGGATCAAATAGAGTCACTGGGGCAGCTATCCTGTCAATGGAAGGACCCTCAAACCAGTTTCACAGAAGACCAGTAGAATCTGGAAACTTGATCAATGCAGAGATGTTTGTTATCTTGGAAAAGGCAAAGGGAAAGGACAGTGTGGGGGGAGAGACAGTTTAATTATTTCAAGTGACATCACCAGATAGCTGCCCAGCTGTTCCCCGAGGAGGCCTGCCTCTCAAAGTTGCCAGGAACCAGAAATTCTTCCCTCAGCAGCTTTTACGCTTACTTATAGTCTTCTCACATCCCTCCGGCTCATCTATTAGTTATTAGGAGCCTGGATCTCTTCAGCAATTGGAACGAACTATTATGAATAACTGGAGAGTTCACTCTTCTCCCTGTTTATGACAAAGAATATTCCTGCAATCCCTTTACTTCCTTTTTTTATTCCCTCTTCCATTTGTTAGAAATTTAATGATACTTCATGCAATGGATGTTTGTTGGCTGCCTATATCTTACTGCCTTCTGATAGAAGGACAGATTTCTGCTCAGGTGCCCACCGTTTTATTAAGCAGCCCATCCACTTCCGGGGAGTGATCACTTCCTGGGCACAGCGGCTCATTCCCAGTTTAAAACCACCCTCTTGACAGCTGGTCAGGATAGGCATTCCCCAGACCACAGTCATTGCTCTGACATAGGGAGGAGGACATGGAGAGGACTGAGAGAAAGGCCTGCCTGTGACAGAGCCGATAAATGTAGTCTAAAAGAGCAGAATTGGGTTTCTGTTACAGTAATGGGACCAAGTTCACTGCATTATAAATATGTGATGGTTAATTTGCAACACATTTGAGACTATCACAGAGACCTGTTCATCATTACATTTTTACATAGCTGGATGCTCAGCAAAATAGAATTTGGGTTTACACTAGCTCCCCTCCTCATAGGGAGGAAAAGTTCCAGAAGGAAGGAAATAGAAAGTAGCCATTTTAGTTTGCATCTACCCAGCACACAAGTCCCAGAAAAGGGAGATTCCGCCGGGAGAAGGCATTTTATATCAGTGCGGTGGGAGCGCTTCACAAACAACAAAAAGAGCCTCAGATGGTCCTTGCTTCAACTGTACCCAACAGAGACCTACATTACATTAGGAGTCTCCAGAGGATTCCAAAGTCAGAACAATCCTTGATTCCTGGAGCCTCCCAGTGGCCTGAATCTTTCCCTCCAGCTGGCTGTGTCTGGTGACCTATTCAGTGAATCATCAGACTTAATGACTTAAGAGAGGAAATTCAAATTCCCAAAGGTCTATATAGGCCAAACAATATAAGCACCTGGAAATGCTGCTTTCCTCAGTTTTGAATGTAATTAAGATTTTTATCAGGCACTAGGCGTGTTAATTATGTGGTATGTCACTTAATTTTTCACAGCAACCTGTGAAGCATTGGGTAACAAAGAAAGTGGATTTGCAAACTACCAAGAGGCTAAATGTGCCAGTGATTTAAGTGCATGATGACGAAGAGCTGCTGAGAAAAGGGAACTGGGTGTCCAGCTTGGGAGGCTGAGTGAGGGCCCACAGGAGGCAGAGCCAGTGTAAGAAAGAAGCAAATAAGTTTGGAATATTTTAGCCCTAGCTGGTGTTCTCAGTGGTTAGTGTCAGCCTGCGGCCTGAAGGGTCCCGGGTTCGATTCCAGTCAAGGGCATGTACCTTGGTTGTGGGCACATCCCCAGTAGGGGGCGTGCAAGGAGGCAGCTGGTGGATGTTTCTCTCTCATGGATGTTTCTAACTCTCCCTCCCTCTCCCTTCTTCTCTGTAAAAATATCAATAAAATATATATATATTTTAAAAGTTTGGAATATTTTGAGTTTGAGGTGTCTTTGAAACATCTAAACAGCACCAGGACCGCAGAAGAGAGATCATCGGTGTGTGGTTAATGGTAAAGGCAGGGTGTAAATGGCAACATCTGGGGAGAGCGTGGACTTGAGAAAATATGAGGAGAGAAAAGAGAATCTGGGGTTGGGGGAACCACCATTCTAAAGGCAGCGAAGAAAGAAGAGCACAAATCAGACCAAAGTTTTTGTCAGAGAGGCACATGGAGAAACTGATAGCACTGAAGCCAAGAGAGCCTCAGGGAGAATGCAGTGGCCGGGTTAGTAGATGACACGGAGAAGCCACGAGAGGGATGTTTGCTTTGATGAGGAGAAGGTCTTTGCCCCGGAGCAGTTTCAGGGCAGGATGGAGGCAGTTGCCGTGGAGCAGGTAATGAGAAGCCAGGAAAACTCCTGGGCAGGTGGACTGGGAAAGCAGACAAGAAAATTAAACAGTCCAGCTTATGAACTCCCCCACCAAGGACACTGAGAGCAAATGGTTTACACCCTCTTCCCTAACCAGAGAACTCATAGCTTAACTCACCCTGGCCCGGGAAAACAGAGAACAAAGACCCAATTAAGATCACGAGTGCCAGCTAATCCCAAGGACAGATGAAGCTGGGGAGAAAAATTAGCAGAAACCCCAATTTAAGCCACACAGACCTAAGATAAAAGTGAAATAGTAAAACCGAACAAAGAATAAGCCAAAACTTCCCTATACATTTATTTTGATGCATCAGTATATTAAAAATGTACCTGGAGGCCTAACCGGTGTGGCTCAATGGATAGAGCATCGGCCTGTGGATGTCCCAGATTATATTCCAGTCAAGGGCATGTACCTTAGTTTCGGGCACATCTCCAGTAGGGGGTGTGCAGGAGGCAGCTAATTAATGTTTCTCTCTCATCTATGTTTCTAGCTCTCTATCCCTCTCACTTCCCTTCCTCTCTGTAAAAAAAAAAAAAAAAAAAAAAAAAAAAAAAAAAAAAAATCAATAATATATATATATAAAATATATATATAAAATATATATTATATATATATATATTTTTTTTTTTAATGTACCTGGAAAGCTGATGAACATTCTACTGAAAATGTACCTGGAAAGCTGATGAACATTCTACTGAAACCCTTCCCTAAGATTCTCGCCTGCAGGAAAAAAAAAAAAAAAAAAAGATAAAAAGTCCTCTGAACAAAGACTCAGGCGGGCTCACTAGAGCATGCCCGTATCCCTTCCCAGGAGTGAACTTTTTACTTCCTCCTAAATTCTAAAGGTTCTCACGAGGCTTTGCAGCCAGAGGAGCAGCAAGTGGCAGTAGCTTGACCTGGGCTCACCCTGATCCTATCTCCAAGGCCCCCTTTTCCTCTGTCTTCCCAGGGAGCTGAAGCAGCCCCGAATGGGCTCATTCTCTCCTGTAACATTTCTAAGGAGCCCAAGAGAGCACCGCTGGGGCTCCCCCTGCTGTTTCTTCCACCCTCATTCCTTCCTTTGTGTTGCTGTCCCCAACATCAATAAATATCCTCTCAAAGCCATCTGGACTGGTATTGTGAAATCTTTCCTACAGGAAGTCAAAGTCCACACACTGCAGGCCGGCCTAAGGCAGACCTGCTGGGTGGGTCCACATCCAATAGCAGCCTATCTGCGGTGGGCTGAAGCCAAGGGGAGGTGAGATACTGTGCACAGAAGATTCTTGGAACTGGACTAAAAATGGAAACAGACAGAGGATCCTCAGCCCGAAGTTAGACTGTCTACTCTCTTTACTTAAAAAAAAAAATTAAAAAAAAAAAAAAAAATATATATATATATATATATATATATATATATATATATATATATATGTTGATTTTTTTACAGAGAGG